ATAATACGGCCCTGTAGTGCGGAAGGTCAGGCAGGTGATCTAATGGTCTCTTCCGGCCTTAAGAGATGGAAACTTCTTCACTTTCCCGCCCGCCGACACTGATCATTCCCCTGGGCCGCGGGAACGCGGTGCCGTGGGTGGGTGGGTGGGTGGGTGGGTGGATGGATGGATGGATGGATGGATGGATGGATGGATGGATGGATGGATGGATGGATGGATGGATGGATGGATGGATGGATGGATGGATGGATGGATGGATGGATGGATGGATGGGAAGCCCCGCCCTTGGAGGCTGCCGCTGGCCCTGCTCTCAGCCGGGACCCGCCTCCCTGTGCCCGCCGAGAGCGGGGCCGGGCGGACGGCGCTCGGAGGCGTCTCCTCGCATGGCGGTGCGGCGGCCACTGCCCCCGTTGCGGTCTGGGGAGCGGGCAGAGCTGCCCGGCCGCGGAGCACACGCGGGGCTCGGCATGACGAGCGCAGCCGTCGGGGCTCGGGGTCCCCGAGGTGCGGAGCGATCCCGGCGCTGTTCGGCGCCGCTGGGGCTCCCGCCCTGGATCACAGCCAGGCGGGAACGTCCCCTCGGCACGGTCTGCCCCGGGAGCCCCGTCCCCATCCCCGAAGGGCCAAACCCCAGCGGACAGGACCTCGTTTAGCATCCCCCCTCGCTGCTTGCGGGGAGCGGGCAGTGGGTCTGAGGTGCTGCTGCCGCTCCCGGGAGGGGAGCGCACTGTCGGTGGCCGGCCCGGGCGGGGAGCGCTGTCCCGCCGAAACAGGAGCTAAGCCCGCGGCTGGGGCACCCTGCACGGAAAAATGGGGGCAACCTGGGGGCTCCCCCGGATGGAGAGGGGTCCCTCAAAAGGAGGGAAACCCAGGCAGCCCTGGCCACGGCACCTCTGGCTGCCCTGGACGCTCGTAAGGTGCCGAGGAGAGCCGCGGGGCCAGCAGCGGCTCCCCGAGCCCGCCCTTGCCCAGTTCCACACGTCCGCAGAACGAGCGTTTGCGTTACAGGGCCGGGACGGGAGGGACAATTACAACAAAACAGTCCGGATTCCTAAGGACATTTTCTCTTCCAGCTGCTTTCTAAATATAGTGCATGGCAATGCATTACCCAGCACAGTATCCTCGCTCTGGCACTTAAGGAAATTCAAAGTCAAGCTAGAGGAAAGAAAAAAAAAAGAGATAAAGACAAGACAAATCTTAGAAAATCAAAATTAAAATTAGTATCGAGTATTTAAAATCCACGTCTGCGTTAAGGTCACCCGAATAGCGAGAAGGACCGACTGCTCGTATTTTAAACCAGCTGTGTTTTCTTTGGAGACTGTTGTTTACCTCCTGGCCCATCGATAGCTTATTAATACAATTTAATTCTGCAGTTGTTTCTGTTTAAAGAGTGTTTGGAGCGAATTGTTTCTTTTGTTTATGATCAAAGAAACGAGGTCTGGTAATCTTATGTTTTATCTTCCTAACATATGGAAAAGCTATTTATCCCAGCCAATCACAATAAAGTGAAGAAAACCCCATTTTATGGAAAGGTATATATCACAAGTTTGTTCATCATTAAAGATATGATTACCAGTGAAAACCCTCCGAAAGTGGCACATTTATGATTCCAGGAACAGATGGGGACATCCATTTTCCTTGCAAATACTTTTGAAATTGCTCTACTGGTAGCAGTATAAAAATGATATACAGATGCCAGTGCCAACGAAGCCGGGACAAGAGGTCCAGATTTACACAGTAAAAGCTTCACATGCGCTCTGTCAGCTTTGATTGATCTGCGCCATACCTCAGAAACTTGTTGACTGGGAAAGGAAACAGCGCAAATAATTCACTGCAACAAGGCAGATAATTCACCCGGCCAATCGCTCCGCTCCGCTCCTCCGGGCGGTGACATACGAGTCCTCCTGCCGCACAAAGAAGCATCATTCTCCAGCGTGAACAGCGGTCCGTGTCACGGGGCGGGGGGGGAAGAGGGGGAGAGAGAGAGAGAAAGGTGGGAGAAGTGAACACAAAAGGAGAGGCGAGAAAGGAGAAGTTGCTTTTGGGCAATGGGCACAGCCGTCTACCTTTTCCGTGCTGAGTACAGGCCGAGCCATTCAGCTCCAATTGTCATTATCATATTGATTAAGTTCATCAGAGAGCAATTTTAGGTTTAACGCCAGCGGATTGGGAGAGGGAGCAAAGAATTATCTAAGAAAAGCACAACATTCTTACCTCAGGGACGTTTCCCTGTTCCAGTTCATTGAGGGAGTTGATTAAGTTTAAATGAAGCAGACACTGGATAAAAGTAAGGGTATTGACCACTGGGCAGCGCGGTCTGCGCTTGAAAAGGCCTGATACATGCAGAAAAGCAAGATTTGCTAAATGCTCTAATCTTCAATCAAATCTTACATCAATACAGACAAAGTTTGGTAATGAGAGATTCAATGAAGCATGCGGGAGAAAGAATTAATCCTCTTGGTCTAAACTGGGTTCAACTTTGAAGCCTGCTCCGAAGGAAAGACAGTTATCTAAATGCTAAATAAGAAACTTATTGTACTTTTCATGGCATGCTAATCTTTTGTCTATTTCATCTCTATTATTTGTATGCTTATAGGCGGCAGTTGTCATGGTGATTATATCAAACCACTTCTGTGTGGATGGCTGCGAGGAATCAGGGCCTCCCTCCAGCCGTCCGCCGGGGCCCGCCCGCTGCTCTGCGCGCCCGCGGCAGCGCCCGCACCCGCGGCCGGCCCCGCACCAGCCCCGCCGCTCGGCCCGCGGGGACACGGGCGGAGCAGGAATCGCCTCCCTGGCAGCTTTTTGACAACACCGGCCCCTTCCTCCCTCCCCTGCATCACCCAAACCGCAGGGATGTCCCTCCATGAAGAGGTACCTTTTTCTCCCCCTTTTCTCTCTCTCTCTTTTTTTTTTTTTTTTTTTTTGTGAGCTTGCCTTGATAAGCTTTTGATGTCACAAATCAAACACTCGCCAGGAGGTAGATAATGGGTAGTGTGATCTCCTCTATTTGTACATAGACAGCGCTTTTGCACCGGCGCTGCCTTGAACCTGTGTCAAACTCCCCGGGCTTTGTTGGGCTGTGCCCGGAGCCCGCCCCGCTCCCCGCCCGCTCCCACCGGGGCAGCCCTGACACGGGGAATTCAGATTCCTGCTGTGCAAACACCGAGGTGAGCGCAGACACTCTAATCGCGGAAGGTCTGAAGAAAGAGAAGAGGGGCAGGGGGCGGGAAGAGCGCAAGGATTTACCTTTTTTTTCTTTTTTTTTTTTTTTCTAGCGCGCGTTGCTGGCACTTGGGGCAGGCAGCCGGCCCAAGGGCAGCGGCCGCCCCGCAGCCCACGCCCAGCAGAGCTATCGTGGCAGGGGGTGGAAATTCCCAGGGTATCGATCTAATTTCTCTCCCGGTACCCACGAGGCGCTCACAGAGGCTTTTTGCGCAGCTCCTGAGGCGAGGGAACCAACTCAAATGCGTGGGTGCGGGATAGAGGGGGCCTTCCCCCAGCTTGTTCCCTGCGACATTATAATCTGAGCGCACAAGGGTGGCACCCGAGCTTTTATGTTTTTTACAAAAGTTGCCAAATTAAGGTCGGATTAGGGCTCCATTCAGGATTTGTGGGCTCTTTAGAGGCTGGGAGCTGCCCGTATAGCCCGCTAGTGCTTATGAAAAGCTTAAAAAGTAATAAAAGGGGGAGTGATCCCGAGAGAAAGTAACATGTATAACTCTTATTAAAGGAGCAGCGAGCGGGGCTGTGAACTTGAATAACTGTTTGAACTTTAATTTGTTCATTAACAGGATTTGCCCCTGACTGTGAATGTTATTACTTCTCTTAAAAGCGAGGTGCAAATGAAAGGCCATAATGAAAGAGCCTGGCAAAAAGTTAAACGCCTCGTAATTACACTAGCCTCATTGAAAACTTAAAGTAACACAAAAGTGAAGAAAACGGGAGCCGGGCTGATACTCTACCAGCGCCCCAGCCTTGCACTACGGTGGCGTTGAGCTCCGGGCCCCAGCTCCCGACCCTATCAAATCCCGATAGCTCACTAAATCGGAATGCACAACAGTTGTGTTTAAACAAGTTTTAATCCCCTCAAAACATTAAAAGAAAATTCCATGTTTTCGGGTGGGGGAAACCCGGTTTATTCCTCTCACTGTCCTGAGTGAAACACGGTGTCTGAAGTCTGATCTAATCTGCATGTTTGTATCCTAAACAGGGCACATTAGCTCCTCTCTACTCCATCACACCGATAGGAGACTAAACTCTGGAGCACCGGAATAAAACAAACTACTCCTCCTCTCAGAAGGTATCTGACTTTGTACCGATGCGTTTGCCACTTAGCTCCGCGCTGACTCTCGTTTCATCTGTCAGTTATCCCTTTCTCGGGCTTGTCAACCGCGTTTTTATGGATTCGCTTGTGATCTGCATCCTTCCTCAACAGGAACATGCAGCCAGGTCGCAATTAAATATACAGATACACGAGCTGTTAGCAAGATTCCACCCTCCCATCCGCAGCCGAGCCGAGGAGATGATTCCCCTGTCACTTCTCCTTTAGACTTAAAGCGCCTTAAAAGTCGCCGGCGGAGCGCCGCGTCCGGTAGCCCGGCGCTGGCTTTGTCCGCCTCTGCTCGCCCCCGACGGCTCCTTTGAAGCCCTCGCTCCCGCACCGCCCCGCACCGCCCCGCACCGCCCCGCCGGCATGGGCAGCGCTCCTGGGCCGCGCCGGGGCTCGCCCTTGGCTTTGGGCGGCCCTGGGGGGCTCCCCGCGCCCAGAGCGGGACAAGGATGCTGGCAAGGCCCAGGGCCAGCGGCGCTCTGCCAACAGCGGCGGCAGCCGCACCTCCTCCGGCCGGGCGGGCGGGCTCTGCAGGGCAGGTGCATACGGACACCCCGACGGAACCAGGTTTGCAGTCGTGCTTAAGACCAGAGGAAAAGCAAGGCGGCGTCTCGTTGAGGAAGCGAGTGTGAAAACCCGTCTATTAGTTTAAAATGCTTTCCTACTTCTA